AGTATTTGGAAATTCTATAAAAATCCTCAATACCAGATGTGGTGCTGCACACCTTTACTCTCAGCACCTTGGAGGTAGAGGCAGCTGGATCTCTGAGTTTGAAGATGAAGAAATAAATTTTCTTTATTATTATTATTATTATTATTATTATTTTGGAATACATTTTCTTAAAAATGATAAAAGCAAAACTAGGTGAGGTGGGGCATGCCTGCCATCCTAGCATTCAGGAGGTGGAGGCAGGAGGTCAGGAGTTCAAGGCTACATTTTGAGTTTAGGCCAGCCTTAGCTATATGAGACTGTGCTTCACAAACAAATAAATGATAAAATAAAAATAAGTAAAATCATGTAAAGGGGGAAAGAAATGGATGAGGAAATGGTTGTGATAACCACGGGTGAGGCACACTGAGAACCACACACGGAATGATGCAGGCAGTGAAGGCAGATTCATAGGCTGTACTGTCTACTCAGGCAGCCTGGGGAGAGATCATTTCATATGAAGTCCAGACAATGAATAGATGTGCAGAAGAAATGCAAGGTAAAATTGCTAGCTACAAAAAATAGATGTTCAACCAACTCAGTGGTAGTGTTTCATTGGACTTGTAACATTAGTTATACTGTTGCTGTTTTGTTATTATTATTGTTGTTGTTGAGACAGGGTTTTGATGCATAGCCTTGGCTGTCCTGGAATTCGATATCTAGGCCAGGCTGGTCTTGAACTCACAGAGATCTGCCTGCTTAGGCCTCTGGAATGCTGGGATTAAAGGTGTGACTTAAGTCAATTTTACAAAACCTATCCTTGAGGTCAGTAGGAATGAAATTTGGGTACTGCCCCCTCCCCAGTTGGAGAGTGGAGCCAGCTTTTCAGGAGAGTGTCATGACCTTGGACAACAAGAATTAACAGCTTGACCAGTATTTTTGCTTTTGGGGGAGTAAGCACCACAGAGACAACCTGGAAGAGGAAGAAACTAACTTGTCCGCAAATGGGAAAAACAAAGGGAAGGAGCCTCAATGTGTGGAACTGGGATGTTAGGTAGGTCCTCTCCCCTTAGATACAGGCAGCCTTCTCTAGATGGCTTGTCAGGTCTGGTTTTTTACTAGGTAGATCACTGATGAGAACCCGGAAAAGCCCAGAGCCTGCTGGTGTGGATCAGCTATAACTCAGTGTTCACTGAGTTATAGACTTTGGGTCTGGCTAATATAGCTGCATAACCCTGGAGTTTTCAAGTTCTTTGCAATGAAATTTTAACTAAAAAGTCATTTCATTAATGTCCTCTCCAGTAAAATTGTGACTTACATATTGCAGTTTGTTTGATTTAACAATTTTATTTTAAAATTATATTTATTATTTTGTGTATGTGTGGAATAAACACATGTAGTAGCATTCTGTGATAGTCAGGGAACAGCTTCTGTCTCCCTAGTGCGTGGGCCCCAGGGATGGACTTCAGGTGAGCAGGCTTGGCAGCAAGCCTTTTACCCGCTGAGCCATTTCAGTGGCCCATATTGAGGTTTTTAGCAGAAAGGTGGGGAAAATCCTGGCATGGAAGGAAACTGGGCATCCACGCAAAGCTGGATTTGAGTCACTGTGCTGCCATGTGGTTTGGGGCAAATCACATATCTCTTCTTTAGCCTTGGCTCCGCCTTAGAAGAGGTAACTGGTGATACCCACAAATGAGATCAGAGGGGTTCTGGGCTTTCGTTAAGGCGGGTCTTCAAGGCATAGTAAGCTCTTGCCTTCTTGTTTTGTCCCCATGTGTGCAAACACCTGGAGTTCTAGGCCTACTTCTGTGTGGCAATGGGGAGATGGAGGGTGGGTCGGGACGTCATAGGCGCTGCAGCCTATGACGGTTAAGCAGAGTCTGTGCCCATTCGTTTCAGACCGGCAGACAGGACCCAGGAGGAAAAGACCTTCTGTTGGGCTGGTGGGGTAGCCCATGAGGGGCCTTGGGCTCATTTTCCAGAAGAAAGGAAGGAAGGAAGGAAGGAAGGAAGAAAGGAAGGAAGGAAGGAAGGAAGGAAGGAAGGAAGGTAGACTTTCATGGGCAGAGTCACCATGTGTTCATCGTTTTTTTCTCCTTATTTAACTTTTCTTAGGCAGGCCAGTTCTTGTTTTTTCAGATGAAAACATGAGTAAGGGGCTTAGAGAGTCCCATGGGAGGGGATGGAAGCTCTGCCTTCACCCCAAACACACATTGATGAGCCTCTGTCCTGGGGCCTTGTATCTCAGGGCTGAGTAAACTATGTTCTTTGTCTCTATTTGTCTTAGTAATTTTTCTATTGCAATGACAAAAACATCATGACCAAGGCAACTTATAAAAGGAAGCACTTAATTTAGGGACTCATGGTTCCTGAGGATTCGAGTTCATGACTGTCAAGCAGTGAGCTGTGATGCAGGCAGGCAGGCAGGCATGATGCTCAATCTGTAGCTGAGAGCTTAAGTCTGATCCTATGCTCACAGGGGGAGGAGTGACACCATCTTGGAATGGTGTGAGGTTTTGAAAGCTCAAAGCCCCACACATCAGGGACATACCTCCTCCACCAGACCACATCCCCAATCCTTCCCAAACAGTTCTACCAACTTTGAACCAAGCACTCAACTATATGAGCCTATGGGAGCCATTCTATTCAAACCTCCACAGAGATAAAGCTTGGGTGGTCGTGATGCCTGCCTTTTCCAAGAAGAAAGATTCTGAGTTACTATAATGGCCCCTACGGCCTCACTCTGCCTTCTATGATATAGTGTTAATGATGGACCTTGGGAGGATTTGTAGACAGTGGAAGCTCTCTATGTGTAGTTGTAGAGAAGCTGCAGTTGACTTGAGTCTGTAACTAAGGTACAAGCCACCTCAAGGACTGGCTGTGTTTGCTGGGAGTGGTTGTGAATACCCTAAGTGCTCCTGTCTGTGTCTTCATGGCTGAAGCTTCTCCTTTTGCCTCCATCTTCCATGTGTTGGGATTACAGGTGTGTATCACCACACTTCTTTTATATAGTACTGGTGACCCACTTAGGGTTTTGTGTACACTAGACACTCTACAAACTGAACTCCACCCCAGCACTAATTTTTTTAACATTTATTTGTGATATATATGTATGTTTGTATATAAAACTTGTGGGTGTGGGTGTGAATACCACATGTGAGGTGCCCTGTAATTGGAGGTTTCTCATCCTGTTCACCAGTTCCCAAATAACACTCAGAGGCTTAATGTTAGTTATAATTGTTTGGCCAGTGGCTCAGGCATATTACTGACTAGCGCTTAAAACTGAATTAGCCCTTTTCTATTATTCTGTATTTTACCATGAAGCTCGTGACTTGGTACCTCACATCTTGCTTCCCCTGTGACTACATGGCATCTCTCTGACTCTGCCTTCTTTCTCTCTGTAACTCTGTTTGGATTTCCTGCCCAGCTATATTCTGCCTGGCCATTGGTCAAAAAAGCTTTATTCATCAACCAATAAAAGCAACACATATTAGCAGCATACAGAAGCACATCCCACATCATCTCCCCTTTTCTGTCTAATTAAAAAGGAAGGTTTTAACTTCACATTGTAAAGTTACATATAACAAAACAGGTATCAAGTAAGAATTATAATATTTAGTCCATTTGCATTTGGCAAGATTAAAGAAAATACTCTATCATCTATGTTTGTGAGTCTAAAGTTTTATGTCTAATTTATCTTTTATCATAGCTCAGGAAAAATATAATTATAACTATCTGTCTTTAACTCCATCAAAGACCCCAGAAAGGTCTATAGATGGAATTTTAGAAGAGATATACCACCTACTTGGTATGTATACATTCTTAGCTATAGTTGATATTAGTCTGGCAGTTCGTATCATCACCCTCAAAGAAGGTGTCAGATTCCTTGGAGCTGGGGTTCCAGATAGCTGTGAGCCATCTGCTATGCCCAGCACTTAATTATTGACCAATACAAAGGTTCTGAGCGGTAATCTCCCTGATGGGGAGGTGTCAGTCCTAAGGTGGTTAATGCCTTGTATTTTGGATGCTTAGCTGGGGCAGGAAGGTGGGGTCGGATTGGGGAACAGGGAGAAGGTGGGGTCGGATTGGGGAACAGGGAGAAGGTAGGATCAACATGCTGAGAGGAAGTGTCTTGAGCAGGAAGGAATGAGAAACGATGTTGGGTGGGGCCCTTGCCTGAACAAACACTGTGAGTCCTCAGAGGCTCCCAGACTGGGGTTGTATTTCTGCATTTCTGAGTGTGGCTGAACTAGGTGGTGGTGTAGGGGGAGGGAGGAGGGAATAAAAACCCCAGAGGGGTGACAACAGCAACCCTGGATGGAAGAACTAGAATGTGCCATGTGCAGAATTCAAGAGTGGTGGTGGGGGCACTGGAGAGTGTGGGTGACCTCACCAGCTTTTGATGAGGGACTAGGTGTTCAGTGAGAGCCCAAAGGGAATGAAATGCGTGAGGGTATTGAACTGAACTTACTTGGGACACGTGGAGTTTTCAGCCCGTGTTGTAGGTGGGAGTGTCTAGTCAGAAGAAGGTCCCCTGCTGAAGTCAGCCACTGTCTGCAAACAGATGTTCCATACAGTGCTTGAAGCTGTAAGCGTGGATGGGCCAGTGAGAAGGACGTGGGTGGACAAAAACAGTTACAGGAGTGGACTGTGCAGATTTGAAGAATGCTCCAATTATAAAACACATAAAACTGGAATGCAGCCCTCTCTGCTGCCCAAGAGCTGGCCTGCAGCCTGCAGGGTGGAGTCCCAGCCTCTTAGCTCACCTGGACATCTGTTGGGAAGTTGCCTTCTCTAAGGCTACCCTAGCAGAGTGCAGCAGGCCGGATGAGTCTTTCAAAGTTCTGGATGCTTGAAATCCAGGTCTACGCAGGGAAGAGCCTTGTGTCTGTCTACACCTTTCTTTCAGCTCCTGCGGTCCTTGGTACTCTTCCGCTTGCAGAAACATAAATTGTTTCCCGCCCTCCTCATGTGTGTTTGCATGCATGGGTATGTGTTTCTGTTTTCTTTTAAGTACAGTGGCTGTGACTCGCCTTAGCAGCTCATACGCTAAAATTGGAATGATATAGAGATTAGCATGGCCCCTGTGCAAGGATGACCTGCCAATTCGTGAAGCCGTCCTTAAGTTTGATACCCTGCCTCAGTGAATCCAGTGGAGAGTGATTGGCAAAGACACCTGATGTTAACCTCTGGCCTCCATAAACACATGCACCCAGCACATGTGTGTCTACATACATTCAAAGCACTCATACATACTGCTTGCACACCATATATCTATGCATGAACAACCACGTCAAAAAAGATGGAGTTAAAGATGAGTTATATACCAATTCCATTTGCCGAGACCCTGTTTCTCAATAAGATCCCACTGTGAGACTCCACATCTCGTGATCAGGAACTTGGGGGTGGGTACCCTGGCATTTCTGTTTCTAGCATCCCCTCTACCCGATTGCCATGATCTTCATCTAGGAAGAGATCCACAATATACCCCAGCCAAAGTTCAGTGTCTGCACCTCATGAGCACTCACTGAGGAGACCCCAGTACTGTCTGTGTCCCCACTACGCCCTGGACTCCTTAACACCTGAGTCCACCTCCCCCTGTTTCTTTGCACTGAGTGGCAGAGACAGCCTCAGCTCGGGTATGAGTGCTAATTCTTTTTTTTTTTTTTTCAAGACAGGGTTTCTCTGCATAGCTTTGGAGCCGGTCCTGTAACTCGCTGTGTAGACCAGGCTGGCCTCAAACTCACAAAGATCCGCCTGCCTCTGCCTCCCGAGTGCTGGGATTAAAGGCATGCAACACCAACACCCGGCATGGGTGCTAATTCTTAATTAGCTGTGTGATCTTGGGTGACTTTCCTAGTTTCTCTTTACCTTAGTTTCCCTTTGTGTCAGATAGAGCTATTAAATGAGAACTTACTGGGTCATGAGGACAAGCCCTGAGAGCAGCTATTCAGGGGCTCACATCTCCAGGAGGCCAGGATCTTGTTTGTTCCTGGTATTTGGTGCGGTGTCTAACATGGCAGGGAACCCATAAGGACTTGTTGAACTTACACATAAAGAGACTCAGCGTGAGGAGAACTGACGACACTTGTGCATTATGAATTTGAGCCTTCCTTAGAAGGCCCCTTCCCTCTGCCCGAGGCCCCGGGAGTTGGATAGCTGCATGGCTGGATGCTGATGAGTTCGGTGGTATACAGGGGTCTCATTTTGACTCAGTTGCACAGCCCTGTACTTGGCGCTTCTCTTTCATGTGGGTGGAACAAATTTTGGCTTATTACATAGTGGTATCTACGGTGGCTTCTACAGATGAGTCACCATTTACTGTAAAGTTTTCAGATGCCCGGCAGACACGCCCATCGGTGGAGCTCAGGCCCTCTGCAAGACCAGCAGCCCAGCCTCAGACGACTAGTGAGAGACAGAGGGCTTGTGGTCCCTTTTAACATGAAGGTCACAGGTGGAGGTCTGCCTGTAGCTTCCATATTGCCTGCTGGAAATCTAGTTTGATATTTGCTAAGTGGTGGGCACATGGCAACTGTTAGATAACAAACACGCTGTACATTCATGCTTGCTCTGCTTCTAGACAAGAGGCTTATTCTTGTGCCTAACTTTGTTTTTGTGTGAACTATTAATTAAAAGAAAAAAGGTAGGCCGCAGGCTCCATGGGTAGTGTTTGCCTTACTAGCGTGAGGACCTGAGTGAAAAGCTGGGCAGAGTGGGTGTGCTTGTAACTTCGCTATTGGGAGGCGGAGACCGGGGAATCCTTGGGGCTCACTGGGCAGCCTGTTCTGAGACCCTGCCTCAGAACACAAGGCGGGGGTGGGGGTGGAGGGGGGCGGAGAGACAGTTTAGAGGGTAAAAGTGTTTGCTACTGATGATCTGCATGGTAAAGGAGCGAGCTGACTTCTGGAAGTTGTCCTTTGACCCCAACACACATACTGCGCTGTGTGACTTCTGAATTTATTTTTATTATGGTTTTATGGTTGTCTGTATGTGTGTGTGTGTGTGCGCGTGCGCGCGCGCGCGCGTGTGTGTGCGTACTCGCGTGTGCTGGCCTAAGAGTGGAGGCTGGAGGACAGCCTTGGGTGGAGTGCCATTCCTCAGGCACCCTCCACCTTAATTTTGTTTTTTGTCCTTTTTTTCATGGCTTGGAAGTTGCCAAGTAGGCTAGGCTAGGCCCCAGTGGGTCCCAGGGATCCACTTGTCTTTGTACCCTCAGAGCTGGGATTACAAATCCACTTCACTGTGCCTAGATTTGCCTCCCCTCCCCTCCCCTCCCCTCCTCTTCTCTCCCCTCCCCTTTCTTTGCTTCTTTCCTTATTCCCCCCCCCCACATCCTTTGCCAAGCCAGCTGGCTCCCCAACCCCATATAAGACATCTCTGAAGGTGCCTCTCAGACCCAGTTTCCTCTCTCTGGGGACAGTGACAGTTTCTTCAGTAGGATCATTCTGAGGCTTTTGGTCCTTGGTATGTAGTCAGTCTAAGAGTGGCCACTGTACTTGGAGGAAGTGGGCTTTGGGCTTTTGAGGTCATGGATGGCAGGAGCTGCCCTTTGGTGCAGTGAAGGTGTGGAGGTGCCCTTTCTGCCCTCCTTCCTGGTTTGCGGAGGTAATTTATTCAAAATCTGCAGCTAGTTACTGTATTCATTTGACGGGTTTGTGCTTCTCTATCTGTGCCCATGGATCCCTGCCTCAAAAATAAAACAGAATGAAACCCACTCCTACCCCACCCACCTATGCCCTCCACCCCAGCCCCTGACCCGTGCCCTCCTCTGGGGCCTCTCTCAGGACCTATCAGCTGTTCTGGCCTGGCCGTGCCTTTTCAGGTGCATTCCATGGACCACAGTGAGTCCTTGCAGTGTGGGTCCTACTTTCTCCATCACAATGGCCACCTGGACAGGGGGATGGCTAGTTCTCCTTAGGTCCCACCTAGGACCCAGGTCTCTTGAGACTGCTGCATATGTAAGAGGCCGTCACCATTTGGGCTTCCGAAATCCAGCACTCTGTGAGGCACAGCCAGTGTTTATGGGGCAGTGGTGCTAGACAATGTGAAATCCAGGCTTAGGAGACACCTGGGACCGGGTAGCCTCATGTGCAGGCTGTTTCCTGAAGGCCCAGGACATCAGGATGTCCTTGCTTCTGCCTCCTCCTCATTGTTGGGGTCTTCTGAAGTCTGTCTTTTCCTGTCCCAGGTGACTGTGATAACACAGCTTCCATTTCTTGAATTCACAAGTGTCACAGTGTTCTGCCTTTGCTAGTGTTTATTATCTTCCTGGGGGTATGGTCCTTACTGGAGCCCCGTGAGCCCCACAGGCACCCCAGAATGAGTGAGTGAGGATGCACATGAGCTGCATGAAGCCACTGGTGATGAAATGGGGAACCACTTCCCTCTGCGCCTGACAGGGATGAGAGATCCTCGCCTCCTAGTCAGTTGCAGTGTTCTTTCTTCTGTCATGTATTCATGTGCTGGGTGTGAATGTGCCATAAGAGTCATGTAATCTGAGCCGGGCACAGCCCTTTTTGCCTGCTTCTTCCTAGGGAAGAGATGGTGCAGCGTTCAGGGTGTGGCTGGTTGGGGTGAATGGTACAGTCTGTCACCGGGACCAGGAATATTTTGAGCCACACAAAAGACGTGGGTCCCGTGACTTCTGTTTTTAAAGGGAACTGCACCCAGTGTGGGGGAGTGTGGGAGGAGTCTGCCCATGGTAGCTGGCTCTATCCCGCCATCAGGGCTCTAAGGCAGTTCTAACTCTGGAGATGATGTTTTCCCCACTGCATCCCAAACACTTCTACAATTCTAGAATGTTCTAAGCCCGGGATCCCAGTCATTGTGGGGCCTTTGGGCCTTTTAAAAGTTTATTGTTAAAGATTATTTTATACACATGGGTGTTTGCTTGTATGAATTATATATGCACCATATGCATGCCTGGTGTCTGAGGTTGCCAGGAGAGGGTGTGGATCTCCTAGAACTGGAGACTGTTAGGGACAGTTGTGAGCTGCCATGTGGATGCTGGGAATTGAACCCCAGTCCTCTGTTAAGAGTAAGTTCTCTTAACTGCTGAGCCGTCTCTTCAGCCCCTTCAAGTGTCCAGTGGGCTGTGTGGAGAGACAGAAAGAGTTCTGATCAGTGGTGACTGGTCCCTGTTGTATTTGGTTATAAGGACTGGGTGAGAATCAGATGTCAGGATAGGGAAGTGGCTTCTGTCCCAAGTCCCTCTGTCACTACCAGGCATGCCTGCAGTGCCCTAACATTGGTCTCAGTGAACCTGGAGCTCTCCCTTCCTTCAGGTCTTCCTTCATCCTTTAGGCAGGTTCTGGTATGTTCTTTTAGTGTCCCATCTTCTTTAGGCCTGGCAGGGCCACACCGGCGACCCAGATGGAAGAACTTGCCTTGGCCTGGACCTGTGGTCCCGCTACATGGAAGCTAGGGCAAGATCTCAAGTTCAAGGTTTGTTTGGGTTACAGAGAGAGTTCAATGTCAGGGTAACTTAGCAGCACCCCCCTCCCCATGTGCCTAGGGATGTGTTTCAGTGGTAGGAGGCTTGCCTTTTTGTCTGAGGCCTTGGGTTCAACTCCCAGCAGAAGAAAAAAAAAAAAAAAAAAAAAAAACTCTCATCGTCCCTGTGGTTTGAGTATGCACGTGTGTGTTTTGCTTATGTATATATATGTGGTGTGCACATGTGTGTGGGGGCCCATGGTGAGTGCCAGGTGACTTTCTCCATCACTCTCCACTGGATACACTGAGGTGGGGTCTCTCGCTGAACCCTGAGCTCCCAGCGTCAGCTCTAGGCATTCTTTGCCTCCTGCATGCTGGCCCATCACACACACCCAGCTTTTTTATGTGGGTTCTGGGGGTCAAAACTCGAGTCCTCATACTTGCTCTGCACGTCCTACCCCCTGAACCGTGTCCACAGTCTCCTTTTTTGTGTTTTTTATTTCATTTTATTTTTTTTTTTATTTATTATGTATACAGTCTTGTGCCTGCATGCCAGCAGAGGGCACCAGATCTTATTCAAGGTGGTTGTGAGCCACCATGTGGTTGCTAGGAATTGAACTCAGGTCCTCTGGAAGAACACCCAGTGCTCTTAACCGCTGAGCCATCTCTCCCGCCCCTTTTTTGTGTTTTTGAGACG